ATAGATAGATAGATAGATAGATAGATAGATAGATAGATAGATAGATAGATAGATAAATAGATAGATAGATAAACACCGATATTGGTGACGCCATGACCATTTATTTGATGGAACGATATTATTGTCAACGAGCCTAGTGTAATCCCAGACAATAATCGTATAATTCAAATGAACAATTCACCCCTCGCCGTAGATTACGAGCGACAAAATAATGATATCGAGCTTACTTCGGAACTAATAAAAAGCTGGATCAAAGAAGCAATCAAACGTCGGAATTCTCTAAAAAAAAAGATGGTAGATTATACAATGAGTCGTCTATTATAACTGGAAATTTCTCACAAAACTCCATTTGAACACAAAAACGAAAGAGAAAAAAAAAGAACACAAACAAAAACTAAACAAGCAAAAACAAAAACAAAAACAAACCTTCCATCGTGATTAGATTCAAGGCTGTCGTAAAATGACGACGATAGGTTTAGAGTTCATAGCCCTTTTGATGCAATCCAGAAGAGAACATTTAGATTATATTTTGGGAAAAAAAACCCTTTAAAAATTGAAGGAGTCGGAAAACACAATTTATGAAAATTATGAAAGTTAGGCAGGATCTAGACTTTTTATTGTTCGATTACCTCCGCTTCTGCTTTTAACAACATTTAGCTTGGCTGGTAACTCAAGAATGTTGAATAATGGAATAAGGAAAAGCAAAGTACGTGGCCAGAATAACCAACGAAAAAAAACGCACCACTAAATTATTTCAATCCCCACACTTCCCTTATCCCAGCAATGTAGAGGGAGTTTGCGTTAAAATGTGTGTAGCATAGTGATGGATTAGGCGCTCGTGTATGTGTGTGTGTGCGTGTGTGTGTGTGTGTGTGTGTGTGTGTGTGTGTGTGTGTGTGTGTGTGTGTGTGTATTTGTTTTTGGGGGTTCTTTTCACGTACCTTTCACAATAATTAAATTCCAATCAACAAGATGTTTCTTTTTGCTTTGTTTTTGGGTCTTTTAAAAACATACATTTTTTTGTATGGGGTCTGGGGCAGGTGGTCCCGGTCGGGAGGATTGGGGGGGGGGCGATATGGAAAGAATACACAGTAAGAAGCTAACAGCAAACCAGTTCACAGACGAGTCATTTTTTTCAGGCGTTAGTCAAGTTCCCTACTGTTTGTTCTCCTATACAGGAGGGCGCCACTAGAGTGTCCTCCTTTTCTTTTCTTTTCTTTTCTTTTTTGGTTTCTGTCAAGGTTACTTTTTCCCTGAACCAACATAAATTAACCTTTCTTATTGTATCAATGTGCTTCTCTTTAATCAACACAAACAAACAAAATTCAGTTGAACATTCTCTAAGGGCTTCCTGCTCAAAACAATCACCCGTACACGCCTCCACTTCTCTCCTTGCGTATTTTTACAGTCAAACAATGACACTGTTCAAGACATTCACCTGTCTAAGATGGCCACTTTTCTGTTCGACGATAAGTGACAGTCTAGGACAGTTTCGACTGTACTCTGTTGAGATCGCAAGTTTACTCGGTTATTAAACCTGGAATTGGCGCTCAAGAATTCGTCCTGCGTTACTTGAAGGGCTTTCTTTTGTAAGGGGGTACAAGCAGAGACTCCTCAAATTACTTTCTGACACTTTGTGAAGACTGGTGAAAGATTTAAGAGCAGTTATGCCAAGAATGTGGAAGGAAAATATGAAAAATTGTTTTTGTGTTTATTTGTAATAGACCTATATGTTTGTGTTTATGTGTGTGTTTGTGGTTATGTGTGTGTTTTTGTGTTTATGTGTGCGAGTGAATGCGTGCGTGTCTTTGTTGGTATATGTGTTTATGTGTGTGTACGCGTGTGTGAAAGTGTCTTTAGGGAGGGGGTGATATTCGCAACGACCTTGCGAAGTCTGCATTAACCCACTGTCTTCTCTCAACGCATTTATAAGTATATACATCCCACTTAACCCATCTACCCCCACGCTGCTCTCAACCATAACTCGTCCCCA